GCAGAAATCAGGTTCCCCCAGCCTGGCCCCACTCCTTCCCTGAGAAAGCCTCCCCAGCCAGTTTGCAATGCACATCCCCAGCAGTGCTGCCAGCGTGGCTGCTCGGTGCAGGGGGTGAGCTGGAGCCTGGCATGGTGCTCCTCAAGCTGGTGTCAGATGGGCCAGGATGCAGAACCCTGAGGTGCCCAGGGGGTCAGTAGCTCCTACTGCCCCAAGCTGGCCCTGCTCCACACAGTGACTTTGGGACCAGGGATTTATCTACAGTGCAGGGCACGGAGCAGTGCTGGGAAACCACTGCGTGCATCCTGGCAGCTCTGGCACAGACCTGACCTGTGGCATGTGCACCTGGGCACTGCACAGGGGGGTACTGGGCTGTGCCACTCTGTCCTCCATGCTGGGAGGGAGGAGGTGATTGCTCCTGTCCTGCTTCCTGGTCTCTCCCTGCTGCAGCCCCAGGTTTCCTGCAGTGACTTTCCAAGTGGACTGGAGTGCTAGTCCCCATCCCTCAGAGCATTTTGCCCCATTTTCTGCTGTGAAATCTCCCGTGGAGGATTTATTGCTGATGGTTTCAAAATGTTTTTGACACAGAAGCCAAGTTGGCTGCATTCCTTCACGCTGGCCAAAGCCACTCTCAGTTGAGGACCCTGGAATGAGCAGTTAGGGAATATGTTTTGCAAGAGTAACTCCATTTCTTTGCAAGCTTCTGTTTTGTTGGGGTGTTCTGTAGGTCAGGAGCTCAGACTATCCCCTTTGGATGCAGCGAGGCCGGGCTGGGAGGGATGGGGAGGACCAGCCCTGGGCAAGGATGTGCCTGTGGCAGGGCTGACCCCACAGCATTTGCACTGCTGCTCTCACGGGCCATTCGTGCCCATATCCCAGGGAGGAAGGTTTGCTGGGCTGTCAGACCCCGTGGCTCCCTGGGCTCTGCGTGGGCAGGGGGGACAGGATGCTGCCTGTAGACCTCACTGTTTGTGGGCAGGACTTGGCTCAGGACATGACTCTCACAGCAGCAAACAGTTTATGGCAACGGTTCAAGGATCTTGACCTGCCTGCTCACGAGGGAAATAAGTGATGCATTCCACTGGCTGCTGATCACTAACACCTTGCTGCCTACTCCCATCATGGGTAGCTGCCTACACCCATCATGGGCAGCTGCCTGCTCCCATCATGGGCAGCTGCCTGCTCCCATCATGGGCAGCTGCCTGTTCAGGTGTGGCAGGTGATGACTGAGCACCCTGTGCTGCTGCCACAAAGCTGCATGCTCGTGCAACAGTAGTTGTGGATGATGAAGTTGTGGTGCCCACAGTGCTGCCAGTGACCTACAGGGTGTGGCTGGGGTTGTGGGAACAGCCAAGGGCTGGTGTCCAGTACCATGGGATGAGTGGCATGTTTGGCTCTGTCCCCTCAGTCGGGGTCTGATGGTGCAGGAGGGATTAACACAGCAGAGTGGTGCTGGGAGGAGGAATGCCATCCCTATTTGCAAAGGTTCTTTAGCCCCACAGCAGAGACCAGAAGAATATGGCTGGCAGCCAGGAGCACCCCCAGCCTGGCTGTCTGTGGCTGCGGGGAGCTCCAGGAATGGCTTGGAAAGTTTTCCATTATGTGAAGTCCTGGTTAAATTAGCCTGGCAAATGAGGAGGGGGTAGGCAGCCTGTCCTCTGCTCCATGCACCCACTCCACACTCCTGGGTGCCCCTGGCATGGTCTGGTGGTGATTCACAGGGAGATGGCAGAGAGGTGGGAGCAGAATCAACCCTGGACACAGCAGCTCTGCAGGGCTGTCACACAGATAATGGAGCAAAGGCTGCAGTTCAGTTGGAGCAGCTGAGCTGTTGTATTGGATGACCAGAGGAGCTGAGGCTGCAGGATTCCCCTGCATGAGGGGACAGTGTGGGGCAGGGGACAGCGCTGTTGCTGGAGCACCCTGTGCTCCACGTGCCCTCAGAGCCTGTTTTTCCCTTTTATGTAAGTTATTCCAAACATGTTTGTAACAACCCCCCCGGTGATGCACCTTTGGCAAAAGTGGTTTTGAGTCCAAAGATCAGTGCTGGGACAGTGACCTGCCCACAGCAAACAAGACTCAGCAGACTATAAAACCCCAGCGGCACAGCGGAGCGTGGGGCAGCCAGAGCCAAGCCGAGGGCAGGGGCAGCAGAGGAGGATGGAGGCCAACATGAACCTCCTGCACGACCTGGGCATCCGGACAACGCACTGGCTGCAGCAGCACTTCCAGGGCTCCCAGGACTGGTTCCTCTTCATCTCCTACGCTGCTGACCTCAGGAACGCTTTTTTTGTCCTCTTCCCCATCTGGTTCCACTTCAGTGAGGCAGTGGGCATCAGACTCATCTGGGTGGCTGTGATCGGAGACTGGCTCAACCTTGTCTTCAAGTGGTGAGTGGCCCTGAGCCACAGCTCCTTCCGAGTGTGTTGGCACAGCTGGACTAATGAGGGCCAGTTGGGTGCTCTCAGCCTCAATGCTGGAGTAGAACAAAGGACAGAGTTCAGCTCCCAGCTGGGCGGTGACAATGGTTGCTCCTTCCCAAGCTATGCAGCAACAGCTCCCCCCTTCTCAGAGCCAGGCAGAGAGATGGAGCCTTCTACAAACAGACTCCGCTTATCAGCCAGGGCTGTGGTGCTGAGCAGGGGCTGCACAGAGCCCCTCAGCACAGGAGGTTGCATTGACTTGCACTCAGGAAGCTCTTGCTCTTCCCCTTCAGGGCTGGGGATGGGGACATGGACAGGCAGTGTCAGCTGTCAGAACCAAGCAACCAGCTGTATGCTGTGTCTGTCAGGATGCCCTCAACCACTTGTGGGTCCTTTGCTTCTTCCAGCTCCCAGAACAGAGCTGAAGCTGCAGCTGTGCCCAAAACCTCCTCAGACCCCATTTTCCTTTCTTTTCAGGATCCTCTTTGGAGAGAGACCATACTGGTGGGTCCGCGACACGGACTATTACAACAACACCTCTGCCCCAGAGATCCAGCAGTTCCCGCTCACCTGCGAGACTGGCCCCGGTAGGGTCCTGCAGCCCTGGTAGGGTCCCCCAGCCCCAGCTGGGGCAGCGGGCACTTGCCCAGGGTGACCTGCACATGCAGGGAGGGAGGTCCTGGCCTGGGCAGAGTCATGGTTGGCAGCCCACCAGTGGCACATGGTCCTGGCCAACTCTTGAGAGAGGCTCCCAGGCACACCAGCTGTGCCTGCAGTGGGGGGAGGCAGGGAAGTCCCTGTACAGAGCAGACCTTGACCCTTGGTGCAGATGTGGTGGCTCGGCACAAACGCTGCCTGTGCTCAGCTCTGGCCCACACCAGGTCTGACCTGGGGCTCTCTTTTTGCCCAGGGAGCCCATCTGGCCATGCCATGGGTGCAGCAGGTGTGTACTACGTCATGGTGGCAGCCCTCCTCTCCGCTGCTCGTGGGAAGAAGCAGTCAAGGACATTCGGATACTGGTAAGCTGTGCACCAGAACAACCTGGACAGAGTGCTGGGCAGAGGCAGCTCCAGCACTGACTGGCACAGCCAAGCCCATCAAGGCACAAGGCTGTGGACAGATAGACAGGCTGTGGCACCCCAAGCGGGGTCTGCATGAGGATGGGCTTGGCAGAGAGCCAGGCACTGTTTAAGGTGTGGGATGGCAGTGCCACAAGCAGTGCAAGCTGGCCCTGGCACCAACGTAGCCACCTACCCCTCGCAGGGTGCTGTGGACAGTGCTTTGGACGGGGTTCTGGGCAGTTCAGGTCTGCGTCTGCCTGTCCCGAGTCTTCATCGCCGCTCACTTCCCCCACCAAGTCATCACAGGCGTTTTCTCAGGTAAGTGCATCAGATCCCCCATGCCCTTCCCTGCAGCTCTTCCATGCTGGACTGCAGTACCCTGAGCACTGACCAGTGCTCCTGCTTTGTTACTGGCAGGGATGGCTGTGGCCAAGACCTTTCAGCATGTCCGCTGCATCTACCACGCCAGCCTCCATCGGTACACGGGCATCACCTTATTCCTCTTCAGCTTCACCATTGGTTTCTACCTGCTGCTGCGGGTGCTTGGCGTGGACCTGCTCTGGACACTGGAGAAGGCACAGAGGTGGTGCAGCCGCCCTGAGTGGGTCCACATCGACACCACCCCCTTTGCCAGCCTCCTCCGTAACCTGGGCATCCTCTTTGGGCTGGGGCTGGCTGTCAACTCCCACATGTACAAGAAGAGCTGCCAGGGGAAGCAGGGCCAGCAGCTGCCCTTCCGCCTGGGCTGTGTCGCTGCCTCCCTCCTCATCCTCCACATCTTTGATGCCTTCAAGCCACCCTCCCACATGCAGCTGCTCTTCTACGCCCTCTCCTTCTGCAAGAGTGCAGCTGTGCCACTGGCTACTGTCAGCCTCATCCCCTACTGCCTCTCCCACCTCATGGCCACGCAGGACAAGAAGGCTGCCTAGGGCATCCCTGCAGGTAATTGTGCCCAGGCAAGTGGCCACCCTAGCCTTGGTCTCAGGGGCACCCACTAGCCCTGGTGCACCCCAGCCACTGTGTGCTCCCTGCTGATTTTGCACTGGGAGTGGACTGTGGGGGCTGGGCTGGCGGCGCTGCCGGGTGGCTCCCACCACATAGACCCACAGTCTCAGTTGTGCCCTTGCTGATGGCACAGCGAGCCTTGCACTCCCAGGACTCCCCTGCTGCCCCTCCTGCACCCACGGGTGGAGATCATCTGCCTGGGACCCAGCAGCAGCGGTGGGGAGATCCTGCACTCCCTCTGTAGCTCACGGGGACACGTCAGCTCCACACTGCGGGGCTGGGGACAGCACCACCGGGAGCAGGGTGCTCACCCCTGGGTGCCTGGGGTCTGCTGGTGAGGTAGCTCTGTGACAGGAATGGGCAGACACTGTGACATGGAGATAAAGTGCCAGCACGAGGGACCCTTCAGCCCTGGGGCGTTCGGTGTTCGCTGCTGTGATGCAGTGTGGGGTGAGCGTACACCTGTGTGGGTACATACGTTACATGTATCTATACACACATGATGTGGGGGTGTGGCTGTGCACAGGAGGTATTTTATTAAAGCTGAAGGTGTGTTTAGCTGGTGAGTTCGAGTGTTCTGCTGGCCTGCGTTGTGGGATGCAGGATCAGCTCCTGGGTGCAGGGCTGTGGCATGGACTGTGGGTGGTGGAGGAAGGACATCTGTCCTGAGTGATGAGAAACACCAACACCTGCAAAACATGTTCAAATCACGGGGAAGGGCACTGCCAGGTGTCCCGGGTCTTTGCCATTTGCCCCTGGTTGCAGTCAGACACTGAGAGCACAGCAGGTGGGGCAAGGGATGAGCTGCTTTCTGTGCTGTTTATCCAAAGCTTCTGGGTGCACGTTGTGGCAGGAACAGGGACAAACTCGTGTCACCTTGCTGCTTACGGAAACAAGCTCAGCTTTGGGACTGAGTGACTTGGCTGGGGCTGTGCTGAACTCCCAGGGTGTGGGGACAGAGCTGGTGTTTGGCTGTGCTGCGGGGTTGGGGTCGGGGTGGTCAGTGCTGGCACAGCCCCCAGCCACCACGAGCCCCAATGCCAGCTCTGCCCGGGTGCAGGAAGAGGCTGCATCAGCATGGGGTCACAGCAGCTCGGCTCTCCCAGCCCTGGCATCCTGACCCCCCTGGTCTTGGCATCCCGGCCCCCCTTGGTGGTCCCATGCTCCCTCCAGCTTCAAGCCATGCAGGCTGTACAGCCCAGCAATTAACTCCTTCACTACACATCCTCACTCAGCCTGAGATACTTTCTTCCTGCCAGACTCTGTGTGTGCACTTGCAGAATCTCCCCCAAACAACCAGTGTCTGCAGCACTGACCCTACACCCAGCTCCAGCTTCTGTGGTGCTCCCTGTGTGCTGACACTGTCCCAACAGCTCAGCCATGGGCCATGGCCCGTGGCCCTACAGCAGCCACAGCACCCACATGTGGGAACACTGTGTGCTGGGGTTCACCATCCCTTTGTTCATGACAGATAAACTTCCTTAGGATGGAGGTTTCTTTTATTCTATTTCTCTGTTTATTACCAAAATTTAAAGTGAACCTCTCATGCCACTTCTAGCAAAAAGGAGGGGAAAAAAACCCCCAAATTACCTGTTGTGCCCCACTGTGGCTCCACAGCACCATTTAGTTCCTCCAGCTGAGACTGCAGCAGCTTCAGGGCCTGCCCGGGCTAGAAAGGCAAGCTTAGGGAACACTGGGAACAGGGCTGCCTGATCCCAAGGGAGTTTGTAGCTGCAGCAGCCCAAGAAACTCTCAGTGTTCAAAAAAGGACCAATAACAACTGCACTTCAACAAGGGAAAGGACTGGTACGTGGTGGGGAACAACCTCCTGCCCGTGGACCACCCACTCTCCCTTCTGGGTCCTCTCTGTCCCTGTGCAGGCCAAGGTGTCAGGGAGGACCAGTGGCCTCTTGCTGAGTGTTACTGCCAAAGGAACTGCTCCTCAGCAACTGGTGCAAAGCAAAAGGCCACAATGTGCCGCCAGCTGGAGGCCCCTCTTGGTTTTAGCAACCTTACAAAGTGGTAAACTAAGGACTACTTTAACCCCTGTACCATTTGGCTGGGGAAATGAAAGAGCCCTTGCAGCAAAGCACGGATTGCAGATCCCCTCTCCATTTCTGTGAGCACCAAACCAGCCTGCACAGAGCATGTGCACACCAGCTTTTGGGTTCAGGTCTTTATTCTCCAGGAGAGAAGTTAGTGGGGTCTGTGCAAAACAGGGAAGGAAGCCCTACTTTGAGAATTATTTCTTACACTTCAGGGCTTCGATGGCTGATGAATTCCTGGAGCAGAGCTTCCACTTCTCCTCGACGGCTCATCTTGGCTGCCTTGCCCTGGAAGCGGTCGCGCTTTCCAGCTCCTTTCCCTCCCAGCAGCTCTGCCACCCTGCAGCAACAACACCACAGGCTGCAGCTCAACCTGCTCCAGGCAGCAAACATGGATCCATGCCTGGATTACACTGTGCAGCTGCTCAGTCTGCAACGTCAAGAATTCATTTTAAACAAACCACAAACCACGTTACCTGGGACCTAAATTCTCAACTGCTTCAACAGGTCCAGCTAAAAGGAAGAGTCCTGCTTCTTTTTCATCCCCCACAGTCAGGAATAGCAGGGTTTCCTGTGGACAGAGATGGATGCTGCTGCAGATTAACTACTGCCCTCCTTGTTCAGGGAAAGGACAGACACTGGCCACAGGACCGAAACACTACACTGACAATTCAACAGTTTATGTGTGTTACTGAGACAGAGACTTCTTGAAAAAAGTAAAAGGAAAGTGGCTTCTGAACCTTTGGTTCTGTCATATGTTGTTGGGACAACATAGTACTGGGGTATCCTCAATTAAAAGGATACAGTTGGCAGTTGGACTAGATGAGTGTTGTAGGCTCCTTCCAACTGGAACAGGCTACTCTTTCTATTCTATTACTATCCTATCTTATCCCATCCCATCCTTTCCAATGAGGTTTTGTGCAGCTTTGGGGGTCAGGCTCTTCCCCAGTCTGAATTCTCTGAATTCCCACTGTTGAGGATTTCCCTGTGGACTGAGGCTGCTGGGGACAGGTAACCTCAGGTAACTGTCAAAAGGAACCAGACCTGCAGCTCATGACTGCAGCAGGAGCAGCAGCCTGGCCAGCCCCTGTCTGTGTATAGCTCAGGTGGAAAACCAGTGGTGTCGGGTCAGTCTTCATCACCAACTCACCTCTGTCCCAATCTCATTAGCGATGATGTTCATAAATTCAGAATCACCCTCCTTCCTGTATGGACGGGTAAAAAAAAACACTTCAAAAGGAAGGAAAAAAACCCTCTAGAGTAAAAAATCTCAATTAGAAACCAATGGCCTGATCAGGGGTTTTGGCCTCTTGCACTTAGTATAGAGATTAGGTTTTGTCTAATATCTAAATCCTTGTAGGGCATTCCTGTGGGCATATTAGGAATTACTTAAGGGTTTATCTTTAAGAAATAGAGCTCCCTAGTTTTATTCGAAAATATCAAGGGCAGAGAGAAATTAGATGGATGCAGTCATTTCTCAGCTACAAAACCAGAAGTCAGTGACTGAATTACCAACAGATTCCTTCAATTACAGAACTCTGCAGCAGGCTGAGGCAGTTTAATATTTTGTTCACCTTGTTTATATTTTTCCTTGACAAAACAAGCCTGAATAGGTGTGAGAAAGGCAACTGCCATAATACATGTGAGATACTGTTGGCCCCTTTTCCCTGAGCTCCCCTGTACCTGTGTAACACAAACAGCTGCCTTGGAGCAGGTTTGCTCTTGAAGTCCCGAGCTATCAAAACAGCAATGTCTCTAAGCAGGTTCAGGTTATTCTAAAAGAAAAGCAAATGAACTGTACTGCAGCTGGAGAAGTCAGTGTGAATACAGTTGTGTTCCTAGAGGTTAGAGCACTTTTCATAATATCCACAAAAACTGAGGCCTAGGATTCAATTCCCAGTTACCACAACTAAAGCTCAGGTCTGCATGAAGCAGCCACAATTCACTTTTCCAAGCCATTCTCGTACCTTCTGGAGCAGTTTCACAGAGCTCTGCAGTCTTTTCACAGCCTCTACATGCTCACCTGGTCCATTTCTGAAAAAACAGGGAGAATTTAGATCATTGGATCATCAGGAAGGACAAAGGAAGGATTTCCTAAAGGAGCAAAAGCAGATCATACACAGCCCCAGGAGCTGTACCCTGAAGCTTATGTGGTATCTGTCAGGAGAAAGAGTAAAGATGAAATAACAGAAGTGGAAAGGTTATTACTTGAGCAGGGAGGTTAGAGCCTTCTCGGTACTGTGACTTTGTTCAATTGATTTCAGCACTCTGTTTCCCACCAAGAAAATCAAGTTGGTTTTGTTCTTTTTCCCTTTTTCCACGCCAAGGAGTTTAATAACCTTAAAAAGAAAATCACGCTGGTCAGAACAGCATTTTGGTTATATACACAGCTGGTCATTTCCTACCAGACTATGCCTTGTGGTGAATATCGACTCTCTGCCAGCGAAAATAAATTGATTAAAATCAATTTTAATTGATTAATCCACACATTGCTCTGTGTGGAGTGTGGCTCCCAGAGGCAGCTCAGCTGCGACCACCCACCTGCAGGTCACTCAGGTTGGAGACATGAGTCCCACAGCACATGTTGGAGTCGATGCCTTCGATGTCCACAACACGCACTGGCCCCACATGGTCGTCGGGCAGCCCCCGGCTCCTCACCTGGCAGAGGAGAACAGTGCCAAACAAGGTGACATCCATGCTCCGTTATTCTGCTCCCACGAATACCATCAGTTCTCTCCCATCACTTACTCTTTCAATTTCAGGGTCATCTGCGGCCAGTTCCCTCACTGTCACAGGGACCCTGTCCCGGATTTTCTCATTCACGCTCCTCTCCAGGGCCTTGACCTGCTCTGCTGTCATTGAGGGGGTGTCCAGCTCAATGAGGCTTCGCTGACGGCCCAGCTCCCTGCACCGGGGAAGAACATCTGCTGCTGTAGCTCAGACCATCCAGGAGGTCCCTTTGTGCAGCACCAGCATCCCACTGCCAGGAATGTGGTGACTGAAACAAAACACACTTCTCTTCCTGCTTTGTTCAGAGCACCGGGTGCAAACCAAACAACTGAGGAGTTCAAGACAGAGCAAACACTTTGTACAGCTTCTCTCCAGGTCAGCCACCTCTTCCAGGCAGGACCTCTGAACTTGAATGAAATGTCCAAACTCCTTTTGGTGTATTAATGTTCAGGCTCCGTGGAGCCCAGCATGGTGGCATGTACCAAACAAGGTAATACTGGGGTCAAAAGGAACCTTCATCCTGCTCACCATGAAGTTGTCTTGAATCCAAACATCTGTTCTGCAATGGCAGTGATGAGATGCTGTCCTGGAAGAGACATGCAAGCACCAGCTCTGAGTACCACCGGTATTTTCAGTCACACTGTGTATGTCCCACTGACATTCCCCACAACAGGTGAGCACTGGGTGCTGCAGGGCTCCTACCAGCGCCCAGAGGAGCAGTGGAGACAGCCCTGCCCTCACGGGTTGAACTTTTCCTTCCATACCTGTTTTCGGTGGGTTTGTTTACAAGCCAAGGAGAGCTCGCAGGGGGCACCTGCTGTCCCAAGTGGCGCCGGGGACAGACTGTGCACGCAGAGCTGCCGAGCATCCCCCTGCCCCGATCGGGGCGGGGACACGCTGGGCACTGACCGCCCCACCACCACGGTAACCGGGGTGTTACCGGGCACCCCCCGGTACCGGCACGGACCTGAATGCTGCTGCATGTGGTCGAAGCGGCGCTCCCAGTCCAGCGACAGCAGCACCTCGGCGCCGGGCTCCAGCGCGGCCGGCACGAAGTGCATGGCCTCGGGTCCCCGCCGGGTCACCCGCAGCACCGGCACGTCCCCGATGAGGCCGCGATCGTCCGGCTGCGGACACGAGGAGTCAGCGCCGCCGGCCCCGGCCCGGCCCCCGCCCAGCCCGGCCCGGCCCGGCCCGGCCCGTACCTGCCCGCCGCCCTCGGGGAAGAGGATGGTGTCCTCCAGCACCACCTGGAACCCGCGCACCGGGTCCCCGCCGCCCTCGGGCCGCAGCTCCGCCGCCTGGCACGACACCACCCTGGTGGCGAACTGCGACAGACAGGGCGGCACCGTAAGGGTCAGGGTTAGGGTGAGGGGCCTGCCCCGCGCCCCGCGCCGGTACCTGCCGGGCCCAGCTGTCCCGCTGGCACCGGAACACCATCGCGACCGCCCGCGGACCGACACGGCACAAGCGGCGGCAGCGCCGGGAGCGGGCGGGGCCTGCGGGGTGACGCGCGGGCGCGCTCCCGGCGGCGGCGCGCGCCCGCTGCCGGCGGGGA